AGGGGCAGAGGGAGAGAGAATCCTCAAGCAGACTCCCCACTGATCACAGAGCCTGATGTGGGGCTTGATTCCAGGACCCTGAGATCATGACCTGAGCAGAAATCAAGAGCTGAACACTTAACAGACTGAGTCACCCAGGTGCCCCTATTTTATTTATTTGAGAGAGAGAGCACGCATGAGCAGGAGGGGGAGAGGGAGAGAGAATCTCAAGCAGACTCCCTGCTGAGCATGGAGCCTGAGGCAGGGCTTGATCTCATGACCCTGAGATCATGACCTGAGCTGAAACCAAAGGTTGAACACCCAACCAACTGTGCCACCCAGGCGCCCCTGATAATCCTTTCTTTAGTTTAGAGTATTGGTATTTTGACGGACAGGGTAAACACAGTTGATTATTTTCCTTCCCTTTTTTTTTTTTTATGAAAAGGAGGCTTTATACGTGCTTTATTCTATATACCATTAAGATTGATCTTAGAGTTGAGTAGAAATAAGAAGCAAAAAAGCAAAAAGAATGATGATAGTGATTGTGATAATGGTTAATAACCTTTCTCCTTCAGGAAAACCATGTATTTATATTATATGAATCTTACCTGGAAAAAAATGAAAAGAAAAGACAATGGGCAAATACCTCGGTAGTTGATGATTTCTGTCCCAAGCACCGGAGTCATCTCCAGGACTGTGATGAAAGCTTTGTCCATAGACGTTAGAGGAAAAGGAGACATGCGGTGTCTTCTAGCCACCTTGGTGATATCAACAGCACTGTGACCTAAACAGGAAGATAATTAAGACTATGATGCTGAAACAGTGATTACAAAGTGGTAATGTCTTATAATTATCATCAATTCTCATTTTCATATGTCTGTAAATGATCATTACAAGGTAAGAAATTTTCTCCTGCTTCCAAAATATAGCCTGCTTTGGTGGAATATTAAACCAAGTCAGCACTGTTACATTATGTGTCAAAACCTGGTGAAATTTAATGTTATTGGATAATCCTTTTGAGTGCTTACTATGCATTATGGCATTATTCTAATTAATCTTTACAACAACCTTATGGGGAGACATTATTATTATCCTTATTTATAGATGAGGAAAGAGAGGTTTATATATCTTGGCCTAAATCACAGAGCTAGTAACAGCACAGACAGGACTCAAACCGGGGTAGTGTGGCTTCAGAGTTAATGTCCTTAACCACATACTAAACATCGAACACTTAATGAGCTAGTTAGTAAAATGAAATACTCAAACTTGAATTTATTTAGGAGTTCATAGGAAATTTTCTATTTTAAGAAAAGTCACAGGAAAAGATTATTTAGCTACTCACTCCTTATTCACTCTCCTTCATGGCATTAATATTACCCATACATTAAAACTCTTAATTTATATCTCCAATCCTAACCTCTACCTTCAACTCTAGATTTAAATGTCATCTAAACAGCTGGTGGATAAGAATGTGTATCTCCAAACTTACAAATCATCCAACATGCACTTGGATGCATAACAGGTAATTGAAACTTAACATGTTCAAAATCAAACTCTCGATCCCCCCACCCTTCTATCTTGCCCTTATGATGTTTTAGTCTCTTACAATTTCCATCTCAGAAAATAGCAACTTGATTCTTCCAGTTATTAATCCAAAATCTTGGAAACATCCTTGATTCTTTTTCTGTCAGAACCATATCTAAACTACCTTTGAAATAGCTCTAGAATCTGACCATTACTTACTATCTCCACAATTACTACAATAGTTGGATCCATCATTTATTTCCTGGGAAACTGAATAGCCTCCTAACTGATCTCCCTACTACTGTCCTTGTTCCACTATAATTTATTCTCCACACAGTAGTTATGGTGATCCTTTTAAATTTTAAACTGGACTGTGCTAATCTTTGCTCATAACTCTCCAATGACTTTCCATCTCACTCAGAATAAAATATTTGCTATGGCCTACGAAGTCCAACATATTATGGCTTCCACTACCCTCATCTCCTATCATTTCCCCTCTTGATCACTGTACTCTAACCATACTGGTTCCTTGCTTGTCTTGAGCATGCAAAATACATCTCTCCTCAGGGTCTTTGTACTTGGTATTTTGTCCACTTTGACATCCTTCCCCAGATATAATGGTTCCATCCATCCCTCATTTCTTTCAGGTCATTGCTAAAATATCATCTTATCAGAGAGGCCTTTGTTAAACATCCTATGTAGAATATTACCCACCATTATTTTCTATTCTTTTTATCCTTTCTTCATGGATATATAAATAAATGCACACACATATATATGGATATTCATATCCATATGTCTATAATTTATATAATATATACATTTATATTTATTTGTTTATAGCCTTCCTCTTCATAGAATGTAAGCTCCATTGTCTTTTTTGTTCAATGTTATCTCCAGTATCTAGAACAGTATTTGGCACATATTAGGCAATAAAAATAAATATTTGTTAAATTAATGAATCATTTACTGACAAAAGGGGACTTCTTAGTAAGATCACTATATTTTCATGCATAAATAACTTGGCCTTTTCTTTGGAACCTTAAAGGTCTATAGACCAGATGGTAAACAGAAAAGGAGTAACTGCAAACACAGTTGGTTGGCTATCCTGTCTGCTATCCACAACTCCATTCTTCCCTAGCCACTGTGCAGCGGAGTGTGGTCATATGATAGAGTTCTGGCCAGTAAGATGTTGGAAGAAGTCCCTGGGGGCAGGGTTCCTATGGTGAATAAGAAGATAAAGAGATAAAGCCTTAAGAGGAGAACGCTTTTGCCCTTCTTTCTTCTTGGAACATGGGTAGATACTGGGAGGTGCTGTAGCCATTTTTTAACCATGAGGGTGGAAACCCACACAGTAAGTATGGAAATATGAGAAGAAAAAAGAGCCTCTCCTGACAATATTGAGTTGCTGTACAAGCCCTGGACTGCCTGTCAACAGGCTTTTGATATGAAAGACAAATAAGCTCCTATTTCTTTAATCCACTTTATCATGATTGTATATACTCCTCAGTAGTCTCTAAGTTCCTAGTCATTGCAATTTATTAAGTTTAATACCCCAACCCAACCCCAGAAGCTGCTTCAGACATATTCACTGAATAAACTCAAAGGTACCACCTCAAAGAGTTTCCATTCTAAAATGAATGATATTGTCATAAGTACTGAAAGAAAGACATATAAAGATGCTATGACTGGGTGATAGACACTGGGGAGGGTATGTGCTCTGTTAAGCGCTGTGAATTGTGCAGGACTGTTGAATCTCAGATCTGTACCTCTGAGACAAATAATGCAAGATATGTTAAGAAAAAAAAAGAAGAAGAAGAAGGTAGCGGGAGGGGAGGAATGAAGCGGGGGAAATCGGAGGGGTGGACGAACCATGAGAGAAGATGGACTCTGAAAAACAAACTGAGGGTTCTAGAGGGGAGGGGGGTGGGAGGATGGGTTGGCCTGGTGGTGGGTGTTGAGGAGGGCACGTTCTGCATGGAGCACTGGGTGTTGTGCACGAACAATGAATCATGGAACACTTCATCTAGAACTAATGATGTAATGTATGGGGATTAACAAAAAAAAAAAATTCAAAAAAAAAAAAAAGATGCTTATACTTATGATATTTCTCTCCAATGGGCAATCATAAAATTACAAAATTTTCAAAGCTTGAAGGGCCTTACAGATTTAGTGCTAAACATGAATAACATTTCTACTCAAAATTTAAGTGAATGCTTATAAAGGATTATGTATGATATGATTTATCATTTACTTACAATTTGAAACATAAATTTATTTCTTGCTTTCACTGAAGTCCCAACCTTGTCATTAAATATCATGAAAACATATTGTCACAACCAGTGTAATTGGAGAAAATGATAGAGATAGGTTCTTCTGTTTTTTATTCAGGTTTATAGGTCTCAGAGATGATATTTTCTAAAATATGTTTTACTTTATGGTGCAAATTGTGTAAAACCTTATAAAAGCTGTCCTTTTAAAATGTTTAGTTTCTGAGGAGAAAATTGTACTTTTTAACTGAACAGTTTATTTGTTGAATTGCTTTGTAATAGAATTTTTCTTATTAGAAAGCTAGTTTGATTATCAGTGATATACACATCTGTTCAACAAATATTTATTGAATGCATTTTATGAGCCAGTTATGGTTAGGGACTTGGGATACAGAGTGAGATACACTCTGCCATGAAGAACATTATAGCTCAGTGGAAAGGAAAGATGGTAAATAAAAAAATAAGAGCAGGTAGGTAGTAAACCACCTGATGATGGTTCTCTAACTATAGAGACTGGTGGTTCTCTGTCTCTAATTGGAAATTACAATGTGGATATCTACCAGCCTGGAAAAATCTTTCCCCAAAATCTTTAAAATAATTTTGCACCTTATTTATATATATATATTTTAGGGCACCTACCACTTCTGTCTTATGTTATAGACATTTCAATATTTGTCTTACCTGTGTTAGTCAACTGTAAACTCCTCTGAAGGTAAACCCTATATTTTACTAAATTTTTGGCTTCCATTTTTTAAAGAAACATGATTTCAACTATTTTCAGATGTTGACAGTTAGTGATTTACAAGAAGCTTCAAAGTGAAAGCTTCAGAAAATTTAAGAATAGTTATCTCTGACTCCTTTTATTTTACAGGTTATAATCCCAAAGCACTTTTATTTTTCCTGGCCATTACAGAACTCAATCAGATAGGAAAAAGGATCAAGAATTGTTTTTTCCACACCCTAATCCTCTTCTTGCTTCTAAGCCCAGCATAGAAAATCTAATGGAAGAGAAAAAAAGTATGTACTTTTATGTCTTGAAGGTGAGATGGATTACAGCCTAGCAGCCAAATTTCCCTGAATGGTCCATAAAAATCCAGTTTGGTAGAAGTAGAAAGGAAGGAAAGAAAAAAAATTTTTTTTAAAGTAAGAAGGTTATAAGAAAAGGCAGTTTGGTTTTTGGATAAAAAAATATCCAAAAATTGAGAGAAAATTCGGATAGTTTTTCCTATAAAGCAAAGATGATTTCATGGCCATAAATACATTCTTATAGCTACCTTACAAAGAAATACCAATGGTCACAAAGAGAATCTGTGAGGGCATTAGCTCCATTCAACTCATGTACACTACAAAACTAACATGAAAATATGTGTCCTATATAGGAGATTATACTGTTCAAGGGAATATTTATTTTAACTTATAATAGTAAAATTAGCTGGTGATCTATGGCTATCACTGATAATTTGTAGGCAGGGTAGCTACTTCAACAAAAATAAACTACAAAGTGCTGTAGGATATGGGATCTTTATATGCAAGTGGGGCAAGGATGGGGAAAGGATGTCTAGACTTAGACATCCCCTCCACTAGTAGATGTCTGAACTGAGCAAAGAATAACAGGTTTGAATTATTATAACATCTAAATTGATAGCATTCTTCTGCAATCAGTTTAATTTTCTCAAGTAGACTTACAGGATTAAAGCAATTCCAAATTAGCCACAGACTAGTGACCTGGAAGTTTCTCTTAGAAATCTAGGTTTCTATAAGTAAAACTTAACTTGTCACTTTTATATTTTCTGGTGCATAAGTCCAGATATGGGATTTACTATATTTGAGCTTGGAATCTTTGCAGGTAAAGTACTCAAAATGTTATTGAGATTTCCTATCTTCCATGCAGCAGTTATAACTACTAAAAAGACTATATAAGAAGTCAGTGCAAAAACAGTATGGATTCAATCAGGATTGCCATCATGAAGGATATGTTTAAATACTAATG